GGCAAGGAGGTAAGCACTACAAACAGAAAGAAAGAACGCAAGAAAGAAAGCGCAAAAAAAAGCTCATTAAAACTGAAGGAAAGAAAGCCATAAAGGGAACTACGAATGCAAAAAGGAAAGATAAAAGAAAAAAGAAAAGAAAGATATCAGAGACTAAAGACCGGACGAAAGAAAATGCAGAGGGGAAAAAAGAATGTTAGAAACGACGAAAGAAAAGGGCACCCCCCCCCCCGGAATTAGGCCCTTTCATAAAGGAAGAGACTCCAAGCAGTTTAGCAACAGCGGAGCCCCGAACTTTCCAGAAAATGAATTGTCGCCGCCACAGATAAATTCGCATTATTCTTCACGGCCGTCCTGAGGCCTGAGGTTGTCGAGATCGTATACACTGTTCCAGGTGGGAGAACGAAGCCACCAGGCGCTCACCTCGCTTTGCAAAAAAATACATAATTCACAAATGCCCCAAGTGGGGCGACGGGACGCTTCTCGCCCCCTCCCCCTTGGCCGGCGGCCCGAGCCCGGGCGGGGGCAGGAGTTGACACGAAGGTTCCAAGTCCCCTTGGCCGGAACCCCTGGGGGCGCGGCGGCTGCGCTCAAAGGCCGGGCTATAAAGGTCATAGGCGGTCTGTGGGGCCGCACTGAATGGGCTCCCGGAGGTAAACAGACTCTTAACTTTCAACTTGGCCTTGACCTTCCTGGAGGTGTCTGGGCGGTATGTAAAGGAGCAGCTGAGGCTTTCAGGGCGTTTGGCTGGGTCCGTAAAGGGAGCTGGGGGTGGGGAGCGGCTCCGGGGCCCCAGAGGGTCGGCGTGGAGGCTCCCAGCAGGACACAAAGGAGCCTGTGCGGCTGGGGGAAGGGTTGGCTCGCCCCGCTCCCCACATTCCCTCTCGCCCCCCCACCTCAGGCTGGGAGGTCAGGAGGTCTGGGTTGTCCTGAGACCTCAGCGGAGCTCAGGTGGAGCTCCAGGGAGGATTTGGAAGCTCTGAGCCTCAGTTTCTCTTTGTGGGCACCTCAGACATACTCAGGGCTGAGAGAGGCAAGTGAGAAGTGACAGGTACTCTTTAGGGCAATTGTCCTTTTCAACTGAGAACAGGTGGCTGTAGTTGATTAGACGCAGGTACACATAGAGAAGCACAGATAGAACTTATTTTTATTCAGTTTATAAAATGCTCTCAAGTGCAAAATTTCACTTAATCTTCACAGCATTCCTGTGAATCATTGTCCCCAGGAGGAGACAGATAATTTTTACAGATAAGAACAATTAGTCCTACCTTAGCTGACTCCAGTTAAGGTCTATGATAGGTCACAGACAGATGCACATACCTATGCTGTACAGATCATGGGAACGCATGTTCATATGCTAATAAACATGACATCCAGAACTATTCCCTGGGATCTAGTAGATACTAAATAAATAGTAGAGTATAATGAAAACAGAAACAAAAATCCTGTGGTACTTATTTGTACTGAAATGTATCTGTTTACATAGGAGTCCACAGCACAGCTGGGGAGCTTAGGGAGGGCTGGGTGTGAGTTCATCCTCTCCGCATTCCACAGTAATGCAGAGCCCAGGGCATTTGGCTGCTTATTTCGACCGCCACGGACGTGAACTAGAACACTTCATATCCCCAAATCACAGTGACAGGCAGTGTTGCTAGGAATCTTTACATTCTTGTGTTTAATTATTTTTCCTTCTAAAAAATAGAGATAAAACAGAAGGACAGTAAAGTGCAGAAATATCAAGCTTACAGCTTGAATTTTCACAAGGTGAACACACCCAGGTATCTAGCAAGTAGACTGAGTTTTGGAATATTTCCAGTACCCCCGAAGGCTTCCTTATGTCGCCTCCAAGTCAGGAACCTCGCTCCCAAGGATAATTTTGCCTGTTCTTTAAAAAAAAAAAAAATTATTTATTTATTTGACAGACAGAGATTGGCGCCAGTAGGCAGAGAGGCAGGCAGAGGTGAAGTGGGAGGAGAAGGCTCCCTGCTGAGCAGAGAGCCCGATGTGGGGCTCCATCCCAGGACCCTGGGATGAGCTGAAGGCAAAGGCTTTAACTCACTGAGCCACCCAGGTGCCCCAGTTTTGCCTGTTCTTGAACTGAACAGAAGTAGAATCATACAAAAGTTGCTCTCTTGTGTCTGGCTACTTACATTCACATATCTGTGTGACTCATTCATGTTGTGTGTAGTGGTAGTTTTTTTATTGCTACATAGTACTCCATTCTTAATTAGAGCATGATTTACTTACCTATTCTACTACCGATGGACCTTTGGTTTGTTTTTATTTTTGAGCTCCAGTGAACTGGGCAGCTTTGGACATTTTAGTACGTGCCTTTTGATGGACATAAGCATTCATTTCTGTTGGGTATATGTCCAGGAATGGAATTGCTGGGTCATAAGCTAGGATTAGAATTTTTTATTTCTGGGTGCCTGGGTGGCTCAGTGGGTTAAAGCCTCTGCCTTTGGTCATCCCGGGGTCCTGGGATCGAGCCCCACATCAGGCTCTTGGCTCAGCAGGGAGCCTTCCCCTCCCACTTCACCTCTGCCTGCCTCTCTGCCTACTTGTGATCTCTGTCTGTCAAATAAATAAATAAAATATTTAAAAAAAGAATTATTTATTTCTAAATTTAGGGATCTATATGCCTGTCCTGTCATCTACCAAGTTAAAACCAGTGAAAAGGGGCTCTTGGCCGGCTCATTTGGTGAAGCATGCAACTCTTGATCTTGGGGTTATAAGTTCAAGCCCCACATTGGGTGTAGGGTATACTTAAAAAAACCCCATAAAGTGAAGAAGTCTTAGTCTGTAGGTACAAATCCTGGTAGTTCTACTTTTCTTTCTTTCTTTCTTTCTTTCTTCCTTCCTTCCTTCCTTTTTTTTTTTTAAGATTTTGTTTATTTGACAGAGATCACAAGTAGGCAGAGAGGCAGGCAGAGAGAGAGGGGGAAGCAGGCTCCCTCCTGAGCACAGAGCCTGATGTGGGGCTCGATCCCAGGACCCCGAGATCATGACCCAAGCCGAAGACAGAGGCTTAACCCACTGAGCCACCCAGATGCCCTGATCTGCTTTTCGTTGTTACACAAGCAAGAGGCTATGGCAAGAAACTAGAAAGCATCAAAGAGATATCTTCTCCTTTTCCTCTCATACTGTTTTCAAATACAATTAAATCTATCAAGGATTTTGTGCTTGATGTCTTCTATTACTACCGATGTTTGTTGAGGGTGAGTTGTAATCTCAGTACAGCCGCATAGCTTGGGGAAATTCCAGTTTGCATGGGCCCTTTCCTGAAAGATGGCTCAGGTTCAGGTTTAGGTTGGTAAGGTTGAGCATGGCTGAGCCCACCTAGAGTCAGAATGGTTTGTTCTGTATAATTGCTGTGACGTTGGTGTGGAGTGGAAAAGTTCCTGCCCTCTCCAGAAAAACTGGAGAAAACGTAGAGTCAGAAGGATTTGATTTGGGAGGGATAGCAAAGGAAACAAAACCTCTGAATGTCTGTGAAAGAAATTGATTTGAGTCTTCTGAATTTCACTGTACAAAGGGGCCCTACAGAGGGACCTCCAGCAATTCTCGCAGAGGTGGGGCTCTCTCTCTCCCTCCCTTTTTCCTTTTAAGGAAATGTAAAGCCTGGAGGAAGCAGATAGGGGTCCTGGGCTTTCTGAACACTCAGCTTGGGTAGGAATGTGCCAGGGTCAGGTGCCAGGTCAGTATAAGAGGAGAGCTGCAGGGCAGAGAGGCCGGACATCTCCGCACAGGGCAGCCTCCTTCTTTCTTGGGGTCCCAAACTCCTGCAACTAATGTATGGCCAATTAGGCCTGGCTTCCCAGAAATTCTTTAAAACCCAGAAAAGGGGGGAGAAGAGGTCCTCTTTTCTGGCTGGTACTTCAGGATTTTGTAAGATCCTCTCCCATTCCTTCCTTCAACTTTTCTCTTTTTCTCTTTGCGCTGATGTTGCTGGGTCTCTGTCTCTCTCTCTCCATATTCAGGTCATGTGTGTCGCCTCTCTCCGTATCTCTTTCCACATCATTAAATTAAAATCCAGACCCTCTTTCACAGGCTACGTCTAGAAACTCCATGTCCGTTTCAGATCTGAACGTTGCACGTCCCAGGTCCCAGATCCTCCCTCATCTTCCGAGATCTTGTCCCCCCTCCCTCTCCTTCTGCCCCACCCCGATCTGGGAGCCGCCTGGGCGGTAGCTGGGATCCTTGGGGAAGGGGCTTCCTAGGCACTTCCCCGGACAGCGTATTATGCGCAACCGGAATTGGAGGGGCACCCGGAGTGAGCTGGGATGCTTGTACCCAGGATCCCAAGCCAGGGGCTCACAGAAATACCTTATAGTCTCCATTTCCCAGCCTCCTCTAGTTCACGCACATTCCCAGGTTCCCCTTTCAGGAGCAGAGCGGCCTCCGGCCCCACCCCCAACTCCCCCCCACCCCACCCCCAGCCCAGGAGACGACGCGCACTTTATAGGGAGAGCTTTTTATTCTCTCGTTAAACCTGCCAAAGCCGAGGAGACAGGGAGGGAGAGAAGGCGGGCGGAGGTGGTGTTGGCTCCTTGTCTTCTCTCCCTCCTCCTCCTCCCAGTTCTCCCCGCCCCCTCCCGCCACGGACCTGGGTTTCCCCAAACTGGGAAGCAGCTTTCCTTGCTGTTCCTGTTTTCCAATGCAATAAAAGAGAGGGAGAGGGAGGAAGAGAAGGAGGGAGGGAGGGAGGGAGGGAGGGAGGAGCGGGCGAGAGAAAGACAGAAGCAGGGTAAAGTATTTTCGCAATTTCTGCCATGAAGATTTTATGAGCTTCTCTCCCCGGGGCCGCAGCCAATCAGCGCGCGTGCCCTGGCACCTGCGTGTCCTGCGTCAGGACGGCGGGGCTGGAGCGAAGGCAGGCGCCCTGCGAGCTGGGAGCGGTTTAAAACGCCTTGGATTCCTGGGGGCCTGGGTGGGGAGAGCGAGCTGGGTGCCCCCCGGATCCCCCACCCCCAGCACCCCATGAGCCGACCCTCGGCCCCATGGAGCCCGGCGATTATGCCACCCTGGACGGGGCCAAGGCCATGGAAGGCTTGCCCGGAGCCGGAGGGAGCCGGAATTTAGCCGCCCGCTCCCCGCTCCCCAGCCACCCCGCCGCCGGGGCGCCTCCGCTGCTGCCCGCCGCCGTCAGCTATGCCCCCTTGGACCTGCCGGGCTCTGCGGAACCGCCAAAGCAGTGCCACCCGTGCCCCGGGGTGCCCCAGGGGACGGCCCCCGCTGCGGTGCCCTATGGCTACTTTGGAGGCGGGTACTATTCCTGCCGGGTGTCCCGGAGCTCGCTGAAGCCCTGTGCCCAGGCGGCCACCCTCGCTGCCTACCCCGCCGAGACTGCCGCGCCCGGGGAGGAGTACCCCAGCCGGCCCACCGAGTTTGCCTTCTATCCGGGGTACCCGGGACCCTACCAGCCAATGGCCAGTTACCTGGATGTGTCGGTGGTGCAGACTCTGGGCGCCCCGGGGGAGCCCCGCCACGACTCCCTGCTGCCTGTGGACAGTTACCAGCCCTGGGCCCTCACGGGGGGCTGGAACGGCCAGATGTGTTGCCAGGGGGAACAGAACCCACCGGGTCCCTTCTGGAAGGCGGCATTTGCAGGTAACTTGCCCCGCTATTTTGGGTCACGTTGGTGCTGACAGGGAGGTTGTAGGCCGCGCTGGCATGGGAGGAAGTGAAGGGAGCCGGGGCTGTGGGCTTTGCCAGCCTAGGAGGCATTGGGACCAGCTTTTCATTAGGTCCAAGTGTTTGGTTCTTTTTGCTGCTGCTGGGGCTCAAGCTGTTTCCACCTTTCAGATCCCAGGTTTAATTCCACCAAAATGACTCAATTCAGTGAGTAGGGAAGGTGGGGTGGGTAGGAACACAGATATCGGATATTTTGTAAAGAATCCAAGCCCTCATTTTGTCTCAGATGAATTTTTCAGTTTCCAAAGGAAATTTTAGATTTCCTGAAGTCATAACTTAGGGGTGCGTATATGTGTGCGTGTTGTGTGTGTATGTGTGGTGTGTGTGTGTGTGTGTGTGTGTGCACGTAAATGCATGCCCTTTTCTACTTAATTTGCCTGCAGGATCTATGAGAGAGGACAAGAGGCTGAAAATGCATGCGAGGGTGGGTATGTGTGACTGTGGGCAAAGGTCTGGCCATGCGTGATGGGTGTGTTTGCAGACCTGCAGTCAGTCGCAAGGACAGTGATAGGTGAGGGTGGCTTGCAGAAGCCTGGTCTTTCCAAGCCTAAGCGGTCATCAGAAACCAGCCGGAAGTGAAGGTGTCCCCTGGTGCTCTGGGGGAGTGAGAGTGTACACGTGTCCAGAGGGTGATCTGGGTGCTCCTGTAGGATTACTTAGCTTATAGGGCTGGGGGTCTTCGCCTGGGCTTGTGGGCAGAGGTCTGAACGAGGTTTTCTCTCCCTCCTTCTCCTGGGCGCAGAGTCAGGCGTGCAGCACCCTCCAGATGGCTGTGCCTTCCGACGTGGCCGAAAGAAGCGTATTCCTTACAGCAAGGGGCAGTTGAGGGAGCTGGAGCGCGAGTATTCAGCGAACAAGTTCATCACCAAGGACAAGAGGCGCAAGATCTCGGCGGCCACCAGCCTCTCAGAGCGCCAGATCACCATCTGGTTTCAGAACCGCCGGGTTAAGGAGAAGAAAGTCCTGGCCAAGATCAAGACCACCACTAATCCGTGAGGGAGATCCCTGGCTGGGAAGGTGGGGGAGACGTGGGAGTATCCTGGGGAGACCCAGAGCCCAAGGGTGCCAGGCTAGAGCACAGGACTCTGCTGAGGGGCTCCCAGGCCACAGCTCCTGGGCTGTTCCTCAGGGATGGCCTGGGTGCCCCTGTGTGTTCTAGGGTGCCCGTGAGGCCCAGAGTTACAGTTCAGTCCACCAGAGTAACACACCACCCACAGGGCGGGTGGCAGTCACAATCATTCATCCTGGTGGTGGCAGTAATCACCATAACCAGTATGAGTTACTATGATAATTAGTTTCGTATTTTCTAATTAGAGCTCTGAGGAGCACTTTAGAAACTGCTTGCATGAATTGAGTTGATTATGAATAAACTTGGAGGGAGACCCAAGGCAGGGAAGCTTCCTCTGGATCCACTTCCGTTTCCAAATCCCATCCCCCATCCCAGTAACTGCAGCAAAGAGGAGAAAAGACAGATTCATCCCTGTGACTACTGTTTCTTATTTAGCGTTTTTCTAAGATGACCCCTGGGCAGGACGGACAATCTTGGAGGACACCTCTCCCTTCCTCCCTCCGTCCCTCCCTCGCTGCCCACTCCCAAGGTTGTACCCAGCCGTTTCAGAAGTCCCACTGTGAACTCTTAGATTTTGTCCTTGGGTGAAAATGAAGCCAGAGAGCTCCCTCCTGAGTCCAAGTCCTCTTTCCTCCAGAAAAACTGAGTTTGAGAAAGCGCATGGATAATTCTCCATCTCTCATTTCCTTCCCTAAACTTTCCAAGTCTTCCCTTAACCTTCCCGGTGGTTTTGTCCAGATTATGGTTCATTGGGCATTTGGGAGCTGCATGATAGGTATTTGTGGCCTTGTAGACGAGCCCCTCCCAGGCACAAATAGTAACAGAACTAGAGAGTAGAATGTGACCCTACTGGCAGGCACATCGCAAACACGCTAGAATAGCCAGGGTGGAGAGAAAACCAGAAAATGACCCTTCACCACCCATTCCCCCTCTGCTTGCCTCCACTTGGTACCAAGAGAAGCTTGCAGGGGGCCTTGGGCCTGGGAAATGGGGCAGGCCCTTTTGTGTGTGTGTGTGTGTGTCAGGGGAGAACAGTGGGTGGCAGAAACCCAAAGACCAAGGTCAGGCATCTTAGGCAACTGGGGCTGCAGATTTCTTTCCTTGTCACTTTGCCCTGGTTTAGTCCAAGTGCCCTGAGCCCCGGGTGGATGGAAGATCACGTTGGCGCCAACTCTCGTTTCTCCATCCACGTAGACAGAGACTCATAGTATGGAATTCCGGAAACCTGGGGCAGACTGGCTGTTTGCAGAGCTGCAGAGCCCAGGACCCTGACACGGAGTCTTCACCTTTGTGCTGCCTCCCTCCTGTCGTGTACCTGGGCCCAGGGCCCTGTGGGATTCAAGACCATGGTCCCACAGCCAAGTCAGCTGGTTTGCCCTGGGTCTTCCTGTAGCCTGGGCTGGGGCATCCCGGCGATCCAGATCCCAGGCTCCAAGTGGAGAGGACCTGCACCACGCATGATCCAAGCCGCCATCGGAGCAGCCTGTGAGGCCCGCGGTGACCATCACAATGGCCTCTAGGAGCTGGCTCAGCCTCATGGTTCTCCAGGAAGCCCTGTGTTGCCCAGGGTTTGGGGTGTTTACAGCCCGCCGTTGGGTGGGACCCTAGTCCTGGCTCCTCTCCTGGGAATGAGATGGGAAGCAACTCAGATTCTCCTAAAATCTATTTACCAAAGAGGAACCCAGGGCTAAGGGGAAAGGCCCCAAAGATTGCCAGTCACCCTCCCCTCTTGGGTCTAGAGAGACTGTGTCGGCTTTGGGGTGTGTGTGTCAATTTTGTGATTCAAAACAAAACAAAACAAAACAAAAACCAAAACAACCTTCCAAGCCCCGTGGTCCAGTTTAAGGTCTTGGGTAAAGCACCTGGCTCAGAGGAAGTTACTTCCTGCCTTTCACATTCTCCTTCAAGCGGTCTCCAGAAAGTAGCTTTAACTTTGCAGGTTCTCAAGAATAGTGTGTGCAGACCCCTCCCTCACCACTTCAGAAATGGCAAGACTTTCAGTGCCTATGGTCATGGGGGCAGGGTGTGGGACACATGAAGGGGGCTCCATGGTGGGGGGTCTCCACACGAGGAGAGGAAAAGCCCCACAAGGGGTTGACACTTTAGGACTAAACTAGCCAGCCTAGGTGGAGGTCTGAAAGAGACCTCGAGACTCTGCCCTCCCAGGGCTCTATCTCCTCCACACCGTTACCAGGGACTGAAAGTTTCGTTCTATTATTCGTTCGCAATAATTTCAGAACGAACAAAAGATTTGGGATTTTAGAGATTTATTTGGCTATCAATGTGAGTTTGTGGACTATTACAAAGGCAAGGGCTCCTCCTGCCGGCAGAAGTTTGCCATCGCAGGGAAACTCGCCGGGCGGCTGGGCCTTAACCCCCCAACCGAGCCTCTGGCTTCCGGATGCCTGGGGTCTCGGGCCTCCGGGGGTGGAGAGTTTGGGGCAGCTTGTGGGAGAGCCAGGATCCGGAGCCGCCTGGAATTGGGCCAACGTACCGGCAGATGGATCGGTCCAGCGAGCGGGAGACCCAGGAAGAAGGCAAGGAAGGCAGCACGAGAGACGTGGAATAAACGGGCCAGTCGGGCCTCCAGGAGCAGGGCTGCGGCACCTTCTGCCCCGGGTCTAGGACTTCAAGCGGCTGGAGTGTTATCTTCCTCCGCAGAGCAGTTCGCGGCGACACGGCCCCCTCGTATCCCCCCCACCCCCGCCCAGGGATGAACTTGGAACCTGTGCAAAACAAAACAAATTTAAATTTCTTTTGGCTTTGAATCCTTTCATGAAACCCCTTTCCAAACACCATTTTTACTCCCGAGGCACATTAGACACCCCCCCCCCCACACCGAGACCGAGCATTTTCAAATCTCTCGCTAATTTGTGTTCCATTTCAACAAAACCCATCTACCTGCAGTCACTTGTCTACAGCGATTTGGTTTGGAAAAGGGCCATCTGTAGCTACGGGGCAGCGTGTCTTGCTAAAAATTAGTCAGCCTGAAACATGCGAACACAACGTTCATAAACAGGCAAATTCAGACAACATTCTCATAAACAAATGCACGGGGAAGCGTACAAATACACTCCCGAAAATTCCCCAGAACGTCCTTATCTACCAGCGTAACTGTCCTCGGAGCTGCCCTCCACTCCCTCTCCCGGACTCCGAGCCGAACACCTCCCGCTGCGAGTCTCAGCAAGCGGCCAAACGGGATCAGAGGGTCGCGTCTACGCCGGCTGCAGGACCCAAATCAGGTCTAACTCCAAAGCAGTTGTATTTTATTAGGCTTCCGGAGGCTGAATTAGGGGGCACTGGTGGAGAACTGCACACACAGGACCTCTGGAAGCTCTTTTCGAATCTAAATTCCCGCGGCAGCCCGGCGGAGAGCCAGGCGGGGGGGCTCCAGCCCTGGGGTCCTTTACTCACGCTGGCGAACGCTGCCGGCCGCTCGGGACCCCGCGAGGCCGCGGCCCGCGGAGAATCCGCAAGACTGTGTCCCCCGCCCTCCCCCCGCCTTACTGTGAGTCGCTCCAGAGCCGGAAGCTGCCCCCGAGGCTGGAAAAAGGCCCTGATCGAGCCCCGCCAGCGCTCCCAGCGGCCCGGCTCCCCTCCTCCAACGCGAAAACTGCCCTCCCCGCCTCCCCTTCATTAAAGTTTTATCCGAGGTCCTAAGTGCTGCACTTTAATTGGGCTTCCTTCGGAGGAAGCTCTGCGCCGCCGCCTGCGTCCGGTCTAATAGAAGCCGCAGAGCTACAATGGTGGGTTAGATACGTAAACCTGCGCGGGGGCCAAGGGAGGCCGTTGCTGCTGATTTTGAAGAATTTGTATCTTCTTCTCCCAGACCTGAACAGTTCCTCTCCAGGAAAGGGGGCAGAAAGCCCTAGAGCGGCCCTCGGCCTCTCACCTGAGTGGGACACCCCTTGTTCCTCGCCCCCGCCCCTCCCCCCCGCCGCGCACCTTTCCTCCCTCCTCCCCTCCCCCCGCCCCCGCTGCTGATCTGGGCCTGGAGAGAGACTTAAAAACATCCAGTGGGGCACTGATGCCAGCCTTTCTGCCTCCGTCCTCTACAAGTTGCCTCTGTCTAAAAGGGGGGTCGATGGGGGGAAGGAAAGAGTCCCACCACTGGCTCCCCTCCCCTAAACTGACCCCGAAGTGAGAGAGGGGACGGCGGCAGCAAGAGTTCAGTCGCCCCCAGAATGAAGAAGAGCGACAGCTTTTGCCCGAGCCCGGAGGGAGGGGCAGGGACTTTGCCATTGAACTTGAAGTTTCTGGTAGGTGGTCTTCAACGCCTCCGCCCCTACTCTCTTAAACGCTTTGCAGGAAGAGGGGGGAAGGGGGAGGAGGGGTGGAGGGGCACCTCCGGTATTGGGAAGGCGGGAGAAGGTCAAGCCGCGGGGGAAAGCCTGGAGGGACCTGAGGAAGGCCTGGGGACTCCGAGGTTGGGGGGAGGCGAGGAGGCCTCTGTATGCACTGGGGAGGGGACACTCCGGCCTTCGCCCGAAGTGGGGAGCCTTCTGTTGTGCGCCCTCTCCCTGAGCCCCGCCCCAGACTCTGCTGGGAGGGGGCACCCAGTGCCGCGCTCCTCTCCTTTCTCCTTTAGCCTAAGGTGAGCCAGCGGAGCCCTGCGCCGCTCGGAGGCTGAAACCTCCACGCCGGCGCCTGCCGAGCTCAAGGCCTTGACGCAAGCTGAATCCCCGGCCGGCCTTTGCAGAGAGAACACGAATGTTGTGCACCCATTCCTCAGACCAGGGACTGGCTAGTTTTCAATACCTCCAAGAGTGCGTTTCTCCGTAATAAGGTAAACTAACTGACCTATGGGCCGAAGGCGTTGCCGCTCTGTCTGGCACCCGCTTCAGAAAGCTCTGGAAGGTCTTCCCAGGAATGCGGAGAGTCCACGATCTAGGCAGGCAAGGAAGGGCGGGTAAAAGGGACTCGAGCTCAGAGACTGACCACCAGGCGAGGGCATCTCCACCTTGGTTCCTGGAGAGACGCGCAGCTGCGGGAGTGGAAAGCGCTTCGCAGCATGCGGGACTGGCATGGCCTGGGCAGGGGAGAGGCTGGCAGGTGGGAACGAGCGCCAGCCGCCAGGCCCCCCAGATGACCGCTGTTGGTCTCCGACTGGATGGAGTCCTGGTAGAGACAAAGTCAATATTATTGTTAATGCTACTACTATTGTTCTTATTTAAAAATCAGAATTCTTTGCAACACACCTGTTTTTGAAAACTCGGTGAAAATCAACTGTAATGAAAACACTGATGATTGACTAACTCACTGTTAAGAGAAAGGCTCTGGCCCTTAAAAAGATAAATTGGAGGGCATGTGGCTGGCTCCGTGGGAAGAGCATGGGACTTGATTTCTGAGTGGTGAGTTCAAGCCCCACGTTGGGTGTAGAAATAACTTAAATACATAAAATTAAAAAAAAATTCAGTCTACTTTAGTCTCTGAACCGCTGCCCTCCCCACCCCCCGGCCCCCACCATTCCTGAAGCCTTTCCAGAAGCTTGGTAAGCGCCAGGATCTGAGGAGAAGCTGGAGGGGATCCACGCTGCTGGTGTTATGTGGACAGGGGCTCAGAGCCCCGATCCACAGAGGGGCCACTTGACCAAGTCATTAGGCACTGATACTGCTAATCCTTTGGTTTTAAGGGAGACACAGCAATCTACACGCACACTCTGGACTCACCGGTGCCCCTTTTCCCTCCACTCCAAGCGAACTCCTCCTGCTCATGCCCCCTTCAGAGCTACTGCTCTCACACTGACAAAACCTACAATTGAGCACACACTTCATAAAATGAGGAAACTGAGACCAAGAGAGGGTAAATTACTTGATCAGTGTCCCTCGGCCTGCTGCAGCAGAGCTGAACCCCAAAGCAGGAGCTCTTTTTTTTTCTTTTAAAGATTTTATTTATTTATTTGACAGACAGAGATCACAAGTAGGCAGAGAGGCAGGTAGAGAAAGAGGGGGAAGCAGGCTCTCCGCCGAGCAGAGAGCCCGATGCGGGGCTCCATCCTAGGACCCTGGGATCATGACCTGAGCTGAAAGCAGAGGCTTTAACCCACTGGGTGGCTCAAAAGCCACCCAGTGGGACTCGCCCCAAAGCAAGAGCTCTTAATGTCTAAAATCCTCTGTCTACACCACCCGGAGAGATCAGGAATCCCAGTCTCTTCCTGCATGCCCCTTTTCACAAGGGCCCCCTCGACACTGACAAACACCTGTTTGCATCAGCAGCCATCTCCTGATGCCACACAGGTGCACTTAAACTCCTTAGACCTACCTTCTCCTGGGTGCACCAGGCAGATTTGCATAAGTGCAAACAACACCACCATCAACAGGTGATTAAAGACAAACGGGAATTTAGTTCAATCCACTACTCATTTACCAAGGGCCTACCACGTGCAGAATCTTCCCCTGGGGGTGGGAGGCTTTTGGAGAGACAATGGAAAGACCATCTCCCATCCCACTGAGCCCTGCCTCACGCTTGCCGCCAGATCTTGGGTCTACAGCTTCCTCAGATGGGACCTCTGACGTCGCGTGGTGGGGTCCATGACTACAACCAGAGCAAGTCTTTCTCACAAGGACTGAGAAAGATTCGCCCCTCTCCCCGTGGCTTCTGGGGGAGTGTCCCAGAAAAGGTCGTCTTGGAGTAACACCTTGAAAGATGTTTATAACCTAAATCCGGGAGGGAAGATGAGAGCAAAACGCGGGGAGGAGGCTGGAAAACGCAGGCTGTGGAGAGAGATCGGTGGGGACCGGGTCTTTGGCTGGGCGGAGCAGGCAGAGGAGCGGGCAGGGGCGTCAGCACCGGGTTCTGAGAGCGGGGCGAAGCCTGCGCAGTGAGCCGCCGCTTGTCGCCGTTTCTACCCTGACCGCCCCACTCCGGCGCAGGCGGGACTGCACCAGATGTCGGCGTCGGCTCCCGGCCGGGCACCGCAGGCCCCAGGCAGGGGAAAAGAGACAGCGGGACTGGTACCCTTCCTGAGGACCCTGGGCTCTCCATTCTAGCCTCGTCCTAGACCTGCTCTCGGCCTTTGTCCGACTGACAGTTGAGTTCACTGCCCTTCCCCCTCCAGGCAGGATTTTGTCATCGAACTTGAGCCAGGCCATAAACATTCCTTCACCCCTCGGGGAGCTGGATCCGGGCGCGGAGCAGGCGGAGAGAAAGGGGGCAGGGGAGGGTTGTGGAAGGACCCGGAACGGAGGGGCCGGGCCGCTCCCAGCCAAGCCTGCACTGCTTTATCAACAAGCGTCTGTTCTTTGTCTTCCGCGGAAAACTCGCCAGGTCTGCATTAAAAATCCGGGTTATTGAGGCTCTCCAGCAAGTGAGAGCAGTGTAGTAGTCAGGATCGACATAATGGCAGCTTTTTCATTTTCACTCTTTCCTAAGTCCTGTTTTCTTACCTTATTTTTAGGCAGCAAAATCCCCTATATATATATTTTTAATCACTAGGAAAAACAAACGCATAAATAACAAAGGAAGGGCGCTTGACGGGCCTAGTTGGTGGAGCCCGAACTCTTGACCTCGGGGGTGGTGAGTTCGAGCCCCACGTTGGGTGTAGAGATTACTTAAAAAATAAAATCTTAAAAAATTAAATACCCAACGAATAATAGCTAGAGCAGATGAATTATTAGAGAACATTCGAGTACGTCATTCTGAGAAGGTCGCCTCTATTTTCAAAGCGCCCCTCCCCCAGCCGGGTGATTGCAGCCGGCAGCCTCGGAGGCCCAAGGAGCCCTCGGTCTCCTCAAGCTCTGGAACCTTGAACTTGGGAAATGGGGCGTCCTCCCCACCCCCACGTTCGTGGCCGAGAAAATACTGGCCTGCGGAGACGCCAGACCCGGGAAGCTGGCGCGGCCTTCCCAGCGACAGGGCGGCGGAGGCTGCACAGAGCGGCCTGTGGAGACGGAGTTGCCGGTTTGGGTTTTTTCCATTTTCTTCTTCTCCCCCCCCCCTTTTTTTTTTTAAGGAATCTAGGACCCTGGAGCAAGGGAAGATCAAAGACTTTATAATGCGGTCTCTTTCTGGCTGCATAAGCTGCAGTGCCATGGGGACAGGGCGCGCAGGGTAGGGGGGACTTCGATACTCCAGGTCCCGGTGGCGGCCGGCTTCCCCTCCCTGGCGGCTCGGCGACGGTCAAGAAGGCACCCAATACCGCCGAACCAACGAGAAGCACCTGGCCTCCTGATTTGGGGCCAGATCTAGAGCCCGGAGGCAGCGCCACCCTGGCAAACCGGAGAAGATCCTGAGGGAGTTGTCGGGATGAGGGGCTCCCCGTTCTACCCAGTCCCCCATTTGGTTTTTGCCTGCTACGGGACTCGGATCGAAGGGGTTTGTCGTTTCATCTTCCTCTGCGACCTTGGATCCCCAGGCTTTCTGGGCCCTGGAAAGACCCCAGCCAAGCCTTCTCCCTTTGTCTAACTTTGTGGGAGAGGCGGGGAGAGGCGTGGCACCTGGGTCAAGTTCACCGACCAGGGCCACATCTTTTAGGGCAAGTGGGCCCAAGGTTGGCACCCAGACCAGGAGCACCCTAAGCAATCAGGACTTTGTGTGTGTAGTGGGGGGTGGGAAGCTGGGGCCGAGGAGGGGGAGGAGGCGAGGAGGCAGAAGCCGGTAGAAGGGCTTTTCAATTTTAGTTTGTTGTTTGATTCTCACATCCCTGCCCTCCCCTCCCCTCCTCTCTGTACAGGAGAAATCACGGGATCCATCGGAAATGAAGGCGTTTGTGTGGAAAAATAAATGTCAAGATCTCATGGAGTGAGCTTCCCAGAAATGGTAGTAAGTCTTTGGCACTTGGGTCGTTTTTGCGTTAGTCCGGTCCCACGTTTGTGAAAATTAAGGATTTACAGTGTTGGACACAACCTTTTCTGTGGAATCCGATTCAGAGTAAAAGAGGCCACATCTAAAGTTCCCCAAAGGCTTCAGACTAAAACACATTGAAATGATTACCCTTAACATTCTTGCCTTAAAAAAAAGAGAAAAAAAAAAAAAAGAAAAAACCCTCAAAGTGCAAAAAACATATCCAGATCACAGAAAAGAAAATGTGGAGCTTTAAACCCATGCCTATTTTAAAAACTAATTTTAGTAAACAAGCATTTAAAACATTTTTTTTTCATTTGAGATTTTGGTACTCCTGTTTTACAACCACTGCTATAGTGACTTTTGTGTCCCCTCCTCCCCACCTTAGTTATACACATCCTGTCCTGGTTTTCTTTGCTTTTTAATTTTTTAAAAGCAAGCTCTACGCCCACTGTGAACTCAAATCCTGATATGACTGACCCAGCCAGGCGCCCCGTGATTTTAAGAAACACTATACTCTGACTACATCCTAGGCAATTTTCCAGGTTATTACAGTCTTCAAAATGCCATTTAAAAAACCACATACGGGCGCCTGGGTGGCTCAGTGGGTTAAAGCCTCTGCCTTCAGCTCAGGTCATGATCCCAGGGTCCTGGGATGGAGCTCCGCATAGGGCTCTCTGCTCAGCGGGGAGCCTGCTTCCCCCCACCACCTCCCCCCCACACTTGTGATCTCTGTCTGTCAAGTGAATAAAATCTTAAAAAAAAAAACATAATGTGCCAAAAAATAAGTTGTTGTAATTTAGAAAACCATTTCCCCAAATGTTTGTCATTTTGTTTGATCCACATTTAAAAAGAAAATAGGTTTTTTTCCTAATTAGAAAACAAATTCCATCATCCAGAATCTCAAAGATAAAAAATACAATGACAAAAATAAAATCCATCCCATATTCTACCATCTAAAGTTTATCAAAGCTAATATTTTGTTGTATTTTCTTCAGTTGTTTTTCCTTCCCTATGCATATAATTTCAAAAGTGAGTTTCTGCATGAATATTTGTGTATCTTGCCTTTTAATTTAATATTATTTTCAGTGTCATTAAATGTTCTCCAAGAGCTGGTTTTAAGGATTTCATAGTATCTAGTCCTTGAGGTATGTCATCAAGTGGAAAACCATTTCTACATTATGGATCATGGAGATAGTTTCCATGTTTACTTTTAAAAATAATTCATAAGCGAGAAAGAGAACACTGTTATGCCCCGAAGTATGTTCGACAGGGAGATGGGAGTTGAATCTTCAAAATTCAAGCACTAGAATGCTTCACATTTTCTAGGTAAAGAA